CCTGAGTATCCGACAGGCAATGCGCCTGAGTATCCGACAGGCAATGCGCCTGAGTATCCGACAGGTAATGCCCCAGAGTATCAGCCATGTAATGCCCCTGAGTATCCGCCAGGCAATGCTCCTGAGTATCTGACAGGCAATGCTCCTGAGCATCTGACAGGCAATGCTCCTGAGTATCCGACAGGTAATGCCCATGTATATTTAACTTACCCACATAAAATACATAATGAGAGATCCTCACAATATATTCCTTTAATAATTTTAATTTTAAATGATGACTCATGTAAGTCACTTGAGCAGCGAATGCATTTCTTTGACCACAACAAATGAGGCCTACCAGCAGGAATCCGTGTCAGACCAATCTTCTGCGGGACAGCTTATCTCTGATAATAATCCAGCCTGTTTTCTGATCCTCAATTGTGCCTTTGCACACAGATGCGTGCAAACTGAATTTTAATGCAACAATTTAATTTAGTCTCATGAAGATCGCAGTCAGAAAACAAGCTTCTCACTTTGTCCTTGAAGGGGGGGCAGGGTCCCCCCCCCCCCCCCCCCCCCCCCCCCGGGACTGAGCAGCTATGTAGGCAGCCTTTGCTTTCGCTGCAGATGGGCAGCACTGAGACACTTGTGGGCCCTGGACTCAGGCACTAGCTTTGGGGGGCAGGATCACCAGGGGTCAAAAGGACATCCCTTAACGCTCATACCACTAATTAGTGAAGAGGCCTAGAATGTTCCATGCATGGTAATGAGCTGTGAGTGGGCCTCTCTAATTGGCAATGGGCCTCTTCAGATTTTAATTACCACCTCAGCTGGCCTCTCAAGTGTCTGAAGGGGGTAGGTGTAGAACCTGCACCCCCACCCATTTGAGTAACTCCTCACACACACACACACTTATTGATAAACAGTACCTGTAACAGAAGCACACACACAAATAAGTCCATCCTCAGCCGATGAGAATTTCTGCCCCCCACCCTTCAAGGGAAAGGAAAGAGACAGAGTCATGGTATTGGGTGATTTTTCAGGCTGACCGCTTCCTATCCGTGTGGCCATCTGTTGATCAGAGGCGCTGAGGCTGCGGGACGTTCATCGCCTTTTCAACTTACCCGCCTCGTCGAGAACCATCGAGAGATGCCAGGCTGCTCATTAGAGGCGGGGGGTGCTGCTGACACAACAGAGGGGATGGGCTTCCGACTCGGCGAGCACGCTGTTGTCGCGCACACTGACCCCCCTGTTCACACATCTCAGCCCCCCTTGGAGTCACCCCCCGGCCCCCAGCATGTCAAGCACATAGACTGGGTGGGGGGTCGGCAGGGACTATCATAGAATTATACATCTGAGTGCTATTTTGACTCGTCTTTATCTTACAGATGTCAAGCAAAATGTCGCAACACCGCAGTGCAACACACTGAAGCGGCTTATGGCGATTCGAAAATTCCGTCCCGTTCTGGGCTTCTTCGCTAGAACCTCCGAGTCCTACTCTCTCGGTTCAATGTTTTCCAGTGGTCACCTCCCCCCCCGGCAGGCTTCTGAGAACCGCACTGCCTGTTTTTAACGCTCACGTACAGCACAACGTTCAATCTGCGTGTCAAACACAATGACGGCTCCTGTCTTATGGCAAAGGTTGACCTCGTGGTTCTCGGGATCATTTATCAGATAGGAATAGCGAGTATCTGGACATGTTTCGCCGACGACCCAAATGCGGTGTTTGGAATAACCACAAGGGGGCACTATTGCTATGTATATCTCCAAAAATATCGAACGCGCGCCGTTGCGCTTGTTTCGCGGCGGATAAACGCGGATTACTTAAGTAGGCCTATTTGATTACGGCCCCATACATACTTGTAGTTTTTAACTTAAACTGTGTAGTTATTTTTTACTATCTGTTCGTGAACATTTTAATGTACTCTTAATATAAAATGTTAGATTAAAAACACTGAATACATCAGCCTTATCTTGCTTCTGTAGGAATCTGACTATTAAGTAATTTAGTCATAAGTATCATTACAACCCTAATGGATTTGTGTAATGGAAAGAAATTAATTCTCCACTACCAATTTCATATGAAATTAGTGTACTGATAAATGATATGAATGAATGTATCGAATTTAATTACTCTTGATTTAACGTAATGAGCTATGGAAGAGCATATTAATTAATTTGCAGGTTAAGAAAAAATTCGACCCTGTCCCTCTAATTTCAGTCTTGGCTGGTTTTTTTGTGATAGTGAATCTACAGGTTTAAATGTAACGTTTAATGCTTTTACAATCTCTCACTGTACGTTTTCTTCTATTTGCAGTAGTTACGTGGATTTCCAGATCGGCGCTGTTTTTATATGAAAGATATAGCCGAGTTGTCAATGGCAACCGGAGCATCACTGCATCAATGCTGCGGTTTTATCTTTTTATCTTTGAAATGAACGGGGCGGTGGAGGGGGGCTCGGGCTTGCTGGATAATTACAAAAAGGAATTGGGGGCTCGAAGGGTTTCTATTATGCCCGGGCTTCGGAGCAGCGCAGCGCGGACTGGAAGCTGCCTGCGGCTCCCAAGCCTTGGCTCCGCCGTCCGTGGCAGCCGCAGTCCGCCAATAGCGGTGCCCATTGTTGTCTTTTAAATGGAAAAAAAGAAGTGTTTGGGAATGAACTTAACGTCATTTTCACAAGTGGCTGATTACTTCTGCCACATGTTAACCCAACTTGAGCGGCATGGCCCGGATCGGCCGTCTTTCAGCCTTGACTCGGCGCATTTGTCCCCCCCCTCCTCCGGCGGCTCCCTTTCTCTCCTCCCGTGCCTCTCGGAGTGTATTGATTTCCCTGCGCTCGCATATAAACCTTACACATGCTTTTTTATTGTTTGATTTAGCCTCCAGATTGCTCCGTATTACCGGCAGCGATAATAGCTTTGAGCTTGAAAAGAAGAAGCGGGGAAAATGGATAAGGACTTTAATTTACCATCTGACCCTTTGCAGTTTCCGATTTATTTTAATGGGTGCTTATATTTATAGTGTGAGCAGGAAGTTGCCTTTTCATAAGAATGTGGGGGGTGTAGGGTAAAACACGGCATGATGCAGGACTAGGTATGGAGTGTTTAAAAAGACAAGGACCTCATATTCTGTGATAAGTTTGCTTGAAACAATTCACACGCTAAGGACATTTTTCCTTTGTACTGGAGACTAAATCCTTTCGTATTTTTTTCTGTTCTACGTGAGACAGCAGCTATAAGGACGCGGTGTTATGTGCAGGAACGTCCCAGAAGCCCGTGACCGCGGCGCTGGACTCGCACTGTCCAGTGCAGCGTCCTGATATATAGATGCGTTAAAAAGTGACGCCGTGAGCTGCCTAAATAGCTCTGGCGGGGGTCACACTTCCGTACACAGCCTAGTGCTGGAGCCAGACGGAGATCGGGTCCCCTACCCCCCGGCACCCGGCTCGGCGTGATGAGCCCTTGCTGCTTTCCTCCCCTAATCCCCCGTAACACGATAAACCCGCAGCCTTACATTCTGCGGTTTGACGGGACTGGAGCTGACGGCTGTCAGCTGACAGTTATTAACGTATACACACACACACATACAGATACATACACGGACATTGTATAGCTAGATTGCCTTTTTCCATGCCGGATAAAGTTTGAATATACAGCAATTTGATTTTATCTGCAACTATTTTATTTAAAAGATCCCTGTGTTCCGCCGCTCAGTCTTTCGGCATTTCCAAAAGTGTATTTTTGGTTATATTACATGCTTTTTTATTTCCTGACATATACTACGATGTTTTGTCTCGCTATTATAACTGTAATCAAGGTTATTTTACAGCGATTTGTAAATCTGTGAATAGAAGGATATATTTCTTTTTTAATTATAAGGTATCTGTATGCTGTGGGACAAAGAGTCTGGAAGCGATGGAAACGGCGCTATTTTGTACTCGTTCAGGTAAACGCTATTAAATCCAAATGCCTGCCTGTTTTTAAGACTAAAGCACGCAGCCAAAAATTCTTAGCTCAGCTGATCGTGCAGTAACCTTTTTAAATAACTTTTTTAAACGGCATTTTGTTAATTTATAAAAAAAAACAACCTTTTATTCTATGTATGCAAAGCGTGCCTTGTAATGCGATCCATAAAGTGAAACAAAGGGATATAATAATAATATGAATATGATTTACACGTGGAGAAATAACCGACAGCCGGCTGCGGGCTCAGATACGCTCCGTCTCATGTGCGGCTGTGTGGGTTTGTTACCGCAGGTCAGCCAGTACACTTTCGCCATGTGCAGCTACCGGGAGAAAAAATCAGAACCGCAGGAGCTGATGCAGCTGGAGGGATACACCGTGGACTACTCGGACCCGCAGCCAGGTAGGAGTCACCATCAGCTACTGCTAGCGCCCCCCAAGGCTACAATTGTGCATTACACCCTCAGGTGCAAGTTACAGGTTAATTGTGAAGGAGAAAGTCTTTCCCCACAGTCTAAAAGAGGGTCCTATTTTATGTCCCCTGATCCTCTGCTGTGTGTCACCTCAGTCTCTGTCCCCCTGCAGGTTTTCAGGGAGGACGAGGGTTTTTCAGTGCGGTCCGGGACAGGGACCTGTTAGTTTTCGCCAGCGATGACGAGCAGGACCGCATCTTGTGGGTCCAGGCCTTGTACCGAGCCACAGGCCAGTCTTACAAACCAATCCCACCCTCCCAGAACCAACGGCAGAACTGCCGGGATAGCACCCTACAGGCCGACGCCCCTGCCCTGCTGCACAGTAGGTCTTGACCTTTGACCTCTGACCTTTACCTGTGTTTTTTTTCCTGTGTCTCTTGCTAAATGAATTCGATGCCAGTGTCACGCTTGGATGTTACCACAGTTTTGAGTAGTTCAGGTGCATTTAAAGCTTCACTGTTTGTGGAAATGGGTTTTAAATATATGGGTTAATGAATTAAAGATTAATCTTTTATTTGCCGTTATTTGCATTAGTTTGAGTACTGGTACACTGGAATTTTTCTCATCGCTGACCGCATCTTGCTCTAGATAGCTTTGGGGGTCACAGTACAGGGTCAGCTAACATGCAACGCCCCTGGGATGGGGGGGTTAAGGGTCTTGCTCAAGGGTCCACAGCCACATGACTCTTCTACCGAGGCCGGGGCTTGAACCAGCGACCTTCTGATTGTGGGCATCCTGAGACATCCTGAGTTTCTACATAGTAACATCCAGACGCCTTGCAGATGTGCAACACGAGACCTGGGAACCGTCTAACCGTCTAAACCACAACATTTAAGACCCAGGTTTTGGCTATGGAGCGTGTGACTCCTGGAGTGACTGCGACCGATCGAGTGATGGGTGACCTGCCAAGCTTCATAGTCACACTTTGCCTTGGCGTGTCGAGGTCAAGGAGGAGCCATAGCTCACAGTAAAGGGTAAACATGAGGTGGTCCCGTAAGCGGTTAAACGAAGATAAATTAGCAGCAGATTAGACGGCTAAAACTTCTCATCATAGTCTGATTGTCTTATTTCCTCTGTTCTCAGAAGTGGAGAGGTTTACTTTGCAAACTTAACCTTTCCTGGTTGGCATCGACTCTCATTATTCCTATAATGGCTCCTAATACTCTTTAAAAAAACATCTGCTTTAGATGCCTTACAAAGTCACACACATACACAGGCACACTACCGTCGCCACAGAATCTCTGGGAATTTCCTGTCACACTGACCCCCTTCGCCCTCGAATCTCGGTCACTCCTGGTAATTTCATAATTTCGGCATTTATTAAAATTCTGTTGCAAATGAATTTGTCCTTGCCTTTTGTAACGAGAAGCATGTCCTACTGATCCCAGCGTAATTGGCACAAACAGGACTTCATAAGCCTTTACAGTCTGAATGAATGTAGGTGGTTGTGATTTTTTTGGGGGGGGTGGTGGTTGGTGGTGAAATAACCGATACCCTGGGTCTACATCTTCTGTCTGTCTCCTCACACTTGTCTCTCCTTGGGTGAGGGGCAGGGAGCGGTGGCCTGTGAAAGCCGCGCTATCGACTCTGCACCTGGCACCCCCCCCCCCCCCCCATTGCTCTCATAACCTGTCATCCTCGCTGTCCCCCCTCCCCTCAGATGTCGCATGGATGCGACGGGCGCATTGACGGCGGCGCTGGAGCCCATGCCGCCCCTGCTCGCATGCGAGGCTGCGATGCCCCTTCAGCTCCTATTAAATAACCCCCCCTCTCGCCCCCCAAGGAGTTAAAGATGACCTGGATCAATGCGATTTCCCGCTGTGACTGACCACGTTAACATCATGCCTTATCCGCGATCAATACTGTGTTTTGCTTCTCTGCCATTATTGGATTTAATCTATATTTCTTTGTCACTTTTCTTCTTTAGAATTTTCGAACCCCCCCGTGCTCTTCCATGCTTTCTGTAAATGGCATTGAGGTTGATGCTTTTCCCGTAATGAATATAAAATGACCTACATCGGAATAAAGGGGAGTGGATGACCAGGCCAGCCGGCCAATCACGTGGCTCGGGACACCCCGCCCTCGCGGGCAGGATGGGGAATTTTCTTCGTCCATGTGCCAAAAAAAGGCCAGTTCTGTTAAAAAGCTACAGTAATGCTCATGTCTTGATGGCGCCGCGGGCGTCCGAGGCGTGCCGGCCCCCGATCCGCGGCTCGGGCCCTTTGTGGCCCCCGATCGCGAAGGACCGACTTTTGTCCGAAATGTATAAAAGAGCTATCAGGCCTGCGGTTCACTTGCAGACGTCGGTTGATGTTTTTTGGGGGGGAATTGTCCTGAAACGGCTGGAAGTGAACCAAGACAGAGCCTTTTCATAGGCTTTCTCAGATTCCGATTCCCCCTCTCTCTCCCCCCCCCCCCCCCCCCCCAGGATCACCCTTAATGCCAGCTCCGCATTCTCGTCTAATGTGCCTCCTCGTCCTGTTCTGATTTCTCCTCCCCTCCCTCACACTGCGCCTGTAAAGCCACCTGTTATTTTTTTGTCCCCAAAGGGACCTTTGACCGTGGGGCCCGTCGAGATCTCACAGGCTCCTGGGGGACATTCTGTGGGTCCGCGATCGCAGCCCGCCAGACGCCAAGCACCTCGTGAACGTTTTAATCTGCGGGCCATTCGGTCTGCGCTGGGTCACAGGATTGATGCACAGCTCGAAATGGTGTCTGGATCTTACAGCACATCATTGATTGGTACCTTCCTGGAAATCAGCAGAGTGACCGACCCAAATAAACATATCCTTATGCTGTCATCGTGGTGCTGACAGGGCCACCTTAACAAGTAGAGTAACTACAAACCATAAGGTTTTGGGTTCGAATCCCAGGGCGTGCTCATACATCGTAAGCCTGCCCTCAACTGTAAGTTGCTTTGGGTAAAAGCAGGACTGTTTCTCTCTGGAATGGCCGAGGAGCAGGACATAGAGCAGCTGACTGTGTTCCATTTACCTCGGAGGTCAGAGATGGGATTTATGTCACACGCAAATTAACCACGTTCCAGTGCAACAAATTTAGCAATGCCAGGGACCTGTTTTAAAAAGCAGGGTTTCTTGTTTTAGGACAAATAACTTGAAAGATTTAAGGTACCCAATTTTAAATGGCCTTCGTCTTTGTTCATTTATATTTAGCCCGGACCACCTTAAATCTGACAAGTTAACCAGCTAAGCAAGAAATCTTGCTTTCTGAATCAGGCCCCAGTTGTAGCCCAGTTGCACATAAAAGTGGGACACCCACAGAAATGCAAATCAAGCTGTTTCCTCAGCATGAAGCAGATGTTTCTCCCTGTGGAGACACTTGATGTCACAAATCCATCTTTCTCAAGAAAACGATTACAATCGGCAGGTCAGCCACAGTTAACCCAGCCAGTTCTGGAGTCCCATGTCTCCCTTTTCCACGTTTAATTTTCATTTTTCCTTTTACGGTACCAGGTTTAGAAAGGTCCCAGCAGCAGACGGTGGAGGAGCTGGTTTCGGCCGTGCCCTGCCACTTCGACCACACCGCCCTCTTCCGGACCTTACAGAAACGTACGCTCCAGCACAGGATGAGCGACTCTTTCTGCTGTTTGGTGAGTACGGTGCGCCATCAATAACAGGGAGACGTCGAGATTAGGGCTGCGACGATTAGTCGACTACCAAAATAATCATTAGTTGCAGCCCTAGTCGAGTCATTCGCTGAATATGTGGCGACTTCGGTGACTCGCGGAGGGAATCCCGGTAAGTGACCAAATGAGGGAAGCCCTCTGCGATGGCAACAGAAGGCAGGCGAGTCGACGGTCCTGTTGGGGAGAGGGGACACCCCCCTCAGGCTATCCTAGGGCAGGGGATTCCAGGCGTTACTTGCCAAATAGGAAAATTATGCCCCCTCAACGCTGTTCAATGGTGCTGGGATTTCAGGCCTCCTCTTAGGGAGAGTGAGGGGTGTCTTTTTTCACACCGATTCAGTCCTTAGAGGCGGAATGAACTTCGACACCTGTGTTTGTTTCCTTGTCTACCTGGCCGCACGGCAATGTGACCGGCGCTCATTGTGTCCTCCTGGCTCTGTACCTGACAAAGGGCTGGTGAATACATTCATAGATGACAAAAGGTCAGCTAATCGTTCGGCGACTGACAAAGGCGCCTGTAACTGGGTCCCTTGGCTCGCTCTGCCCCAGGCAGGCCTGCTTATTAGCAAGCGGGCTTATTAACTCTGCGGGAGGTTTGGACTTATTAGCTAGTAATGCTAAACCCCGCTATAGCGATAGCACAACAAGTGTGATTAACAAATCGGGAATGTGTGGACTGAGCTTTTGGGGGGGTAATGTGGGCTGGGGCCTTTGGCTGTCACAGACCCCTGGGGTCGTATTTTCGAGTGTGTGGGTGTCTGATGTTGCATTCGATGAGTTTTAAGTAAGTGTCAATTAACTAGAAGTGTCGATGAGGGTCTGGTGGGCGGGGCTCTGGGAAACCCCGCCCACTACCCAACGCTGCTACTTTAAACGTAATTGGGCTGGGTGCCTGCCACCGTCAAATGAAGAATTGTGTAATTGTGTCATGCACGGCCCCCCCTGGCGATCTTCCATCTTGCCCCCGTGCAAATTCCCACCTCGCTGCATGACACCCAACCTCGCCATCGCATCTTACTGGTGATGCAATTAAGAGGCTTTTAATTAGAAGGAGCAGGCTTGTGAACTGGAAGTGAATGGATCCTAATGCAACAAAAGGCTCGGGTGAAGCCAGCAGCGATGGTAAAATCACGGAGGATTACCTCTGTTACCGTAGGCGTCTCCGGGGATGGCCGGGATAGGAACCACCGCCTTGCGGCTCGTCACTGAGCCCCGGAAGACGCCGCTGAGAGTCAGAGTCAAATTCGTTCACAAATTAGTTTGCAGGAAACAGAGCTTTTGCCAAATGTGAGCCCAGTGTTGGGTCAAAATCTTGCACAGGATGTTCGTGAAGACTTCAAGTTATATAGACAAATAAAAGTGGTTTATATAAAGGTTCCTTTCAGGGAAATTTACAGAAATATTGTGTGCAAAATATATACCCAACAAAGTCAATTTAAAACTGCATGTGAGTCATAAAAAAAAAATAATAATTTGACGGACTTTATATTAAAATGTAGTTCAAAAGCTTTTTATTTGTGTGTTCTGATATTCAAGTATTAATAGATCTGTTTTCAAATTGGTAGGAAAACATGTTATAGATTTTTAGACTTAAAATCTGTGTCTGATCTCACTGATTTCCTTAGTTTATAGCTGAACCTCATGTCAGAAATAAACCTTCGTGATCTGAATATCTAAATGAGGTGTCACTGACCCTGAGCAAATAATTGGGTGGGTGGATGGATGGATTAGCCAAACCTTACTATGTCACACCCTGAGAAGAATGAACCTGGAGTACTGTAATATTTCCCCGATGACGGATGTCCTGGCCACTTTCATGATACAAATCACTAATCGTCACGCATTGGTGAACCTCTCAGGTGGCAGTATGGCGCTCCGATCTGTCTTATGGCTCAGCTTCACAAGCTGTTATCGCTGTTGGCGCGCAGATTTCTTAATGATACTTGCGGTGAGTGGGGAGGACGATGGTTCCAAACAGAATCCCTTAAGTTTCTCCTAAACCATTCTCTCTGTCTGATGAAGTGCACTGAGGAGAAACTTCTGAGGACCGATTTGTAAGCAGCCCAGTGACTCTCAGGAGCGACTTCGTTAGGGATAACGAGGCAGACAGCCCATTAATGCAGTGGTCAGTGCCAAGGCAGTTTACTGGCCATCTGTCCCCCCCCCCGCGCCCCCCCACCCGTGAACAGTGTACATCGTACCACCTTCACATTGGGCGGCAGGTACAGTATGGGCCATCAAGGTGGCGTCGTATACGCGTGTCGCATCTGTGCAGAGGTCGTGAGGTTGGCGTGGGGGGGGGGGTGTTTCCACCTGGGTCATCGCCATTCCTGGAAACGGAATTAGTTCTGAGTCGGCATGGCGATGGGGGCGAACATCGTTAGAGTGCTAATTTGTGGAGGTTTCTTTTGAATGCCAGCTTAATTAACTCTGTAAGATTCGGCCATAATTTAGTCATTATGTGATGAATTTACACTCTAATGATTGTAGCCAGCCTTAGAATTACTCTGTGCCATCTGTAATTTGTGGATAATTCTTGAATAATCACTTAATTGTTTCATTTTAATCTTCCACTGTTTTTTATATGTATTTTTAATCATTTCTATTGACTCTAACAGGTTGTTTGAAAGTAGTGACTGCCTGTACCAGATTTTCAACGTTTAGTGGTTGTTCACATTATATACATAGACATCAATGCTTTTTGATAAACTATTATTTATTCGTTCATTGCTTTGGTTTAGCTCTTAGGCATTAATTTTTACTAATGCCTAAGCAGTTTTTTGTGCTGACCTGTGGAACTTCTGGAGTGTTGGTTCTGCCCTGGACAGGTGTTTGTGCTCCCCCCTCTGTTTTTGCAGGGTTGGTTCAGTCCGGCTCAGGTATTCGTGCTGGATGAGTACTGCTCCCGCTATGGCGTCAGGGGCTGCCACCGGCACCTCTGCTACCTGCGGGACCTGACGGAGTACTGCCAGAGGAGCGTCCTCATCGACCCCACCCTACTGCACTACAGCTTCGCCTTCTGCGGATCCCACATTCACGGAAACAGGTGTTTGGATGGCATGCGGTGTCCGCAGAGATGGGCCCTTGGACAGGCACTCTGGGGGGGCAGCAGGAAGATTTGTATGGCTGTCGTTTCTGGGGGTGCCTCCCATGCATGCTGATATACACTCACCTAAAGGATTATTAGGAACACCTGTTCAATTTCTCATTAATGCAATTATCTAATCAACCAATCACATGGCAGTTGCTTCAA